GCTGTACTCAGACGGATGAAGATCAAAATGGCAAAATGTACACGATATAGAATATTGACCTTCCAAACTATTACTCATTCAATCCACTGTTGACCTCATTCCAGGAGGAACCATTGGTGCCATCGTCGCCAAGAGAATGGAGGTGACAGATCTCCCACAGATGGTCGCCTTGTTCCACAGTCTGGTGGGTATGGCCGCCGTCCTCACCTGTATCTCCAACTACATGACCGAGTTCACACACTTTGCCACCGACCCCGCAGCCGGTGCTATCAAGTCTGCCCTGTTTTTTGGTACCTGGATTGGTGGCATCACCTTCACTGGCTCTCTGGTGGCATTTGGCAAGCTGCAAGGTTGGTGTAGATGTAGCAAGGTTGTTTGAATCTGCTGAAAGAAGGTTTTGTAGTAATGAAGTAAATGAATGACTGAACTAGTGGAACACTTTAGAGAAATCTTAAGTGAAATCTTGACTCTGATTCAATGGTTTGCACATGGTTTGTACATTCTACATGGTTTCTCTACATGGAGCGAAAGACAATGCATGTAGGTTGCTGACATATACGGAACAGTCCTCATTCTGGGGTCAACTTATTTCAGCAGTAGTTGAGTGTTGATGGCAAAGTAATAAAGGCTCCACCCAGCTTGCATTTGTATGACCGAGAAGAATTTTTGTCATGAGCTTGTGGTCTAAATTCTAAATGTATATAATAAATATGAAAATGTGTGAAATGGACTTGTAAGTTGATCTGTTGATGATAAGACTTTCTGAAGATAAAACTTATCTCTGTGTGTATTTCCTCTGCTAGGTCTCCTGAAGTCCGACCCTCTGTTGCTGCCGGGCAGACATCAGCTGAATCTTGGCCTGCTTCTGGCTAATGTGGCAGCCGCAGGGCCGTACATGATGAGTGCCTCGTACGGAGTAGGTCTGGGCATGTTGGGAGCTACCACCGCGCTCTCCAGTATCATGGGCGTCACACTGACAGCTGCTATTGGAGGTACACGCAGGCACACACACACACACACACACACACACACACACACACACACACACACACACAGCAGCGCTTTTAATGCATGAGCATTTCCTGAAGCTGCTTATTTTCTTACTGAAGTTTTAGTTATATGTATAAAAGAATTATTATTCACACATTTAAAAACCACTTTTTTCAACTGTTTTTTCAAGATCTACAATTTTAAGTGACAAAGAAAACTCCTAACTTGAATCCAGCATGTTATATAGAATTATTTGATTATGTAGAGTGAACTATGTGCATATATTTTAATTAAGAGACTAATTTTCGTGATTATTATCATCCCTCAGGTGCTGACATGCCAGTGGTGATCACAGTGTTGAACAGTTACTCTGGCTGGGCTCTCTGTGCCGAGGGCTTCATGTTGAACAACAACCTCATGACCATCGTAGGCGCTCTCATTGGTTCCTCTGGAGCTATCCTCTCCTATATCATGTGTGTGGTAAGTTCTGATTGGTCACAATACCCAAAATTGTTTGTGATGTAAGCTGTGATTGGTCAAATACGCATGTAATTGCTTGTGTCGTGTATTGTCATTGGTTAAAATGGCATATGAAATTTAGTGTGGTAAGTTCTGATTTGTGGAAAAAAGGTCCAAGTGGCTTAAATGACATAACTATATTTAAAATTATTTCTCTCCATCCTAGAATTAAAAAAAAAAAAAAAAAGATAATACCCCTCTCCATCCTGAAATAAATATTGAAAACTATTTTCTCTTCATCCTGAAATAAATATTTAAAATTATTTCTCTCCATCAGGCCATGAACAGATCCCTGCCTAATGTTATCCTGGGAGGCTACGGCACGTCTTCCTACGCGGGCGGGAAAGCCAAGGAGGTAACGGGCACCCACACAGAGGTCAATGTCCAGGAGACCGTTGACCTGATTACCGAGGCGCAGAACATCATCATCACCCCCGGTTATGGTCTGTGTGTCGCCAAGGCGCAGTACCCTGTCGCTGAGATGATAGAACTGCTCAGGTCCAAGGGGAAGAATGTGAGGTTTGGAATTCACCCTGTGGCAGGTAGGATATAGAACAATATATAATTAGATGATATACAGCAACTTGGGTCCAAGGGGAAGAATGTCCAATGGAAAGGCTAGGCTACTCATATTTATCCAAATTTTAATACCGATTTTCATTAAAAGTTGGTTACTGATATTTATATTAAGTTTGATACAGTACCTGATATTTTAAAAAAATCTTGGATAATTTAACTGAAAACTGGTATGCTTGATACTGATATTTAAAGAAAAACTTCGATACTGATATTTATGTAAAGTTTGATGCTGATATTGTAAAGAAGTTTGATGCTTGTATGTTAAAAACAGAGATAATTTATTTGCTGAGCTTAATTCCTGAATTTTTAATTAATAAGTAGTCTCCCTGTCAAGTATGGGCTTGTACATGAAGTTAAAGGCAACCATAAAAATATTTGACAAGTTTTCTGATAATAAAAAAATAAATTCCTGATCAAGAATGATCCCATATATTCCCTCATGTCTCCTCAGGTCGCATGCCAGGCCAGCTGAACGTGTTGTTGGCAGAAGCCGGCGTAGACTACGACATCGTACTGGAGATGGACGAAATTAACGATGACTTCCCAGAGACTGACCTTGTCTTGGTGGTGGGTGCTAACGACACCGTCAACTCTGCCGCTGAGGAAGATCCCAACTCCATCATTGCTGGCATGCCTGTTCTGAGAGTGTGGCAGTCTGGACAGGTATGTAGGACACTGGGGGGGGAGGTTTGGGTTGAGGGGAGAGGGTGGGGCAGTCTGGACAGGTGTGGTGGGCCTTGGGGTGAGGTTTGGGAAGGGAATGGGAGTGGGCGTGCGTAAAGTGATAAATTATTAATTTGAATTATAAATAAACTTGGTGACATTGAAGACAATTGTGGTTTCATGTAGAAAGCACTTGGGTGTTCAGTGGTTGATATTTTTTTATGT